TATGAAATCGAAAAGGATGAGATTATATGTTCGACGGCGATGTATGTTTTTGCGCCACTTCTTGACCGATTTTCCAAATTCTTTTTTATTCGACAACTTGATGGATCTGGGTGGCAACACTGATTGTGTTGCCATTAATAGATATTAAATTGTTTCCAAACGATTAATATCGATTGTTAATAAATAATCAATTATATGTTATACTATGATTATTATATCTTTACTAATTATAGTTATGTAAAATAATAAGGAATTTTTTTTTGTGCAGTACCAAAGAGAAAAATATTATGGCGTATTTCTTGTACTTTTATTCACTTTCACAACTATTGATTAATTCATAACGATTATCGATTTTCAACAGATTAGTCATTTTAACTTTTTACCGGCAATTTTTTTGTAAATGGCGTACTTTTCATGTCATAGTCGTTGATTAACTTTACGAAAATTACTCGTAACGGTGTGCTTTTTTTAAATCTATTAATAGTTGATAATTTAAAGTATTATAAAATATAAATTGCAATGATAATGAATTGATTGTCGGCGACAAGCCGTATTTTGGCATTCTCGTTTAGCCAATAATTTGGTTATTTCTACTGCTTTTATTGAGCATGTTGTTATTTGAATATTTTATTGAAAAATAAATTTTAAATAAAAATTTCAAATAACAACATGTTTTTATTCCAGCGTAGTCATGTCTACGTGCTCACTTCTACTTCGCCCGGCACGTGCTACGAGACGCACCAACTACGACGTAGCTGTAACAACTTTTTTTTATTTGAAAACGTGCTTTCGCCATAATATTAGTTCTCACTGTCGGTTGTAATAAAAGAAGATTTAGAAATCCGTAACTTATTCAGGAAAATTCATAATTTGCTTGCAAAATTGAATCCGTTACTGCAAATCATGAAATTTATTCTGTTTTAAAACCTATTAGTATTCATTTCGCTAGAGGGCGCTCATCAAGTAAACATTAACTTGTAACAGTTCTTATAAATTTATTAATTATAAAAAGTATTACAGTGTTAAAGTGATTAATTATATGGAAATTAGATAGTGATCAGTCAGCCACAAGTGTTATTTCTGGGCTGTGTTATATCTGGATTGTTTCCTGGATTTAACAACATTTGCTGCATAAAGTCAATTTTTTTTCCCTGTGTGACGGTTTCTCATCCGGGCAGTGTTGGTTGAGTTGTGCCTGTACTTTGCAGTGACTGTTTGTGGAAATTAAGACTTTCGGGAAGTACCTAGTTACCAAAATTTGCTGTATCATCCTTGATTTGCATAGGTGTCGCCATCTGCTTAGACTTCTGAGTGTTAGCTTGTATCGGCCAATATAACAAGTAACAGCTAGAAGGATTGCGGGGTCGTTGCTGTTAACTAAATTAACACCGCTGGTTGCTTTTGTCTGTGCTTTTGGCGTGCTAGTGCTGTATTTGCTTTATTGACCCACCTTGTCATCTTGTGCGTGTGTCATTTTTTTGCATGAGACTCTTTACGGTAAATATGGATGCAGTGCACAAAGTAATAAGATGTTAAGCAAAAGCGATGACATACTAACATGCAAGAAATGTGCAGGAAAATACCATCGGCAATGTCTAAGTATAGGCAGGGATGATTTTGTTCAAATGAATGCTCGTTCGCTGGCGTCTTGGATGTGTCCAACTTGTACTAATGTCAATACTCGTCGCCGCGGCTCTAATATTAATACACCAATCCGCACGCATCAGTCGTCGAATTGTGATCTTGGTATGAATATGTCACTCGATAACAGCTTACTCAATACCGCTAGCGAGGGCGATCGTTCGGCTGTGAGCGGGCTGCTAGGGTTGGGAGGGGACGTGGTCACAATGGAAGGAATAAGTAATTTACTAGACCATAAAATAAAAACTTCTGTGTCGGATGTACTTGAGGCGAACTTGAGGGTCTCGCTAGAGACTTTTAATTTTAAGATATAAGAAAAATGGTTCACTCAGAGGTTACAACCATAGTTAAAGATTTGGAAAATAGTTTCTCGAAAACGACTGATTTCATTTGTGCCGAGCAGGTGACACTGCAGTCGCAAATTTCTGAGAAGAATGAAATGATAAAAATGTTGGAGGATGATAACACTAAACTTAAATCCGAACTCAATTTATTAAAAGACTAGCTGTGCCCGCAACTTCGTCTGCGTGGGAAGTATTTTGGTAGAATTCTTTTATTCCTATGGATGGAGTCGAATCGAATAAGATCAATGGGCCATAACCCACTATGCGGGCTTAATGCGGATCGGTGGGTGTTAACGTTGCTGATGCAGCCAGGACTAACGGCTTAACGTACATTGTGCCAGTGTTGTGCACAGTGCTCAGGATAATAATGTTTTGGTCACCCATCCTGTCCTTACGAATGTAATTTTCTATTTTTTTTCTTATTCTTGCGTTCTGGTTGTCGTTTGTGTCTGAGAATTTTATTCATACCTTGAAACTGTCCTTCTTTTGTTTTTGATCTTTTCAAATTATTATTATTTGTTTACTTGTATACACAATCGGCTATTTATTGTTCTTTTTTCCATGTAATGCTAGGTTGCCTGGTTGGAAGAAATCGCTTGCTAGCGATGAGTTTGTCGTTTGTACTTAGTGACGTAAAATAAGTATTCATGTATGTCCTTGTTGTACAGTATTTTACTTATATATTTCACTGCAATTTAAATTGAATGCGCTTACCCACTACGCCATCGGACCTCTTATACCTAAGATATACTAATAATAACAAACATTTGCCCAAAAACTACTGGACCGATAGTTTCAGAACGATTCTTTCTACGGGAAGTTACATCACGGATGTCGACAGCACGCGGGAAGACAGCTAGTTCATTATACATACCTTGTGAAAACTTATCTGCGGCACGCCTGTGGAGTACGAATGCAACACGGGTTGGCGATAATCGAAACTACTTTCTCGATCTCTATTGTGCAAACTGCGAGCTCTTTCAGAGACTAATCACATTTCTCTGTGAAAGGAAGTTTCATACTAATACCATACTGCATGTATATTACGATCAGCAGTTAGACGCACTATGCGATCTTCAGAAGTTTTCTGAAATCAAACGCTTGTTGTATGAGTTCTCCGAGAGCTCAAGAGATTGTCCCTGACAGTAAATGCTTCAGATTCAACTTTATAGTGCATGAGCCTGGCGATAGACAGTTAAATACGTTTCACGTTTTTCAGGTGTGTCCCGAGACCGAGTGCTTTCCGTCCGATCTCTTTCTTTGTCAATAAAAGTCGGTCGGTACATGTCTGAAGGAAGATACGTGGAGTTTTATTTATTGATATAAAAAAATATATACATATTTTAATTTCGGCTTTCTACACTCGAAGGAAATCGTCTACTAACACATACTTCCGAAAGGTGCCTAACTGAGCTTCCATCAGATTTGAACGGCCCTCATCATCATCGTCAGCTCTTTTACGTCACCAACTGCAGGGAGCCTTATGGATTAAGGAGGTTGGGCCACGACCCTCCATGTTGTCCCAATGCGAATTGGAGGATATTAACGACTGCAAATTCAACCGGGACCAATCACTTTACGTGCCTTCCAAAGCTTGGAGTTGCTTGAGATAATATTTTTTGGTCACCCCTCCTGTTAAAGACCTTTGCGAAAGTTACTTAACAACTACAATCGTGAGCCTCGGCGTTTATTCACTACGCCACCGAGCTACTCTGAACCGATCCTCAGACTCGCGTAATATTATATGTGTTGTGACCAAATGAATAAACCATTGTTTAAAGCGAAGACTGAAAATACCAACTTTGAAGTACGTATCTATAGCAATTTGTTAAAAAAAGGAGTATTAACATAAAAAAATAGTAATAAGAGAAAAAAGATATAACGTTCTTAACTTCAGTTGACGTGAATCTAACTTTTATAACGTCGTGGAAAAACTTCTGACGTCTCTGTTACCTGGCAAGCAACAGGGGTGAGTAGAATTCTCCTCCGTGAATCCGACAGTGAGCTGCCCAGTAGGTCCCCAGAGGCCTACCCACCAAAACCCGTACTCTACACCCTCTCATGGGAAATGAAAACCGGCAAGCTATGGCCGAGCCACCAGGACACTCAAGTATTGGACCATTGGTCCCATTGCAAATGCAATTGGCTAAATCGAGTGCCTCTCCCAGACAAACGAAACCGTGCAATCCGGGGGCGGCTGCCAACCACCTCCGCTGGCCCCGACTACGTCGTGAACCTAATCTGATAAAAATATGCGTTCACTGTAAGCTACTCGCAAGGCTTAATTGCATCATCGGAAGGCTCTTTCCGCTTGTTCTCCTACTCGCGTGATCGTATACCACACGTCTGTTATAAGCTGAACCCTATTAAATATGATTGGCCATATAGAAATGAGGTCAACATACTTCGAGTAGTCAAAATTTTGGAATCTTATTTTTTTATTTGTCTTCATACAAATTTTCATTTTTTAGACAATATTAATTTTGTAGCTCGGTGGCGCTACGGATATGCGCCGCTGCGCACGATCGCTATTGCTAAGCAATTTTCGCAAGAGTTGTGTACGGGATGGGTGACCAAAAATTATTAAACAAAGGCCTGAGGCCCTGCAGTTTGGCTGTGAAAGAGTTGATGATGATGATCAATATATCAAAGACGAAAATTTAATAAAACAGTAAATATTTCATAGCGATTTTGGCGACCACGTCACTTCAAATTGACATAACTTTTTTATTTGTTAACCGATTGAAATAAATCTTACACTAAATGTTAACGGAAGAATGCCGCAACATAATAGTGAAAACTGCATTTAAAGGTTCAGCCGTTTCTGAGATTATCGTGCACAAACGCACAGACAAACAGACAAACCGAAAAACAGACAAACATACAAAAAAAATAAAAATCATTGTTTTGTATTCTATTACGTTTATAAATGTCCCTTATAACAGTTTTTTTCATATATCTTTAATGTACAGACATCGATCGGTTACGTTTTTATTATAGTATAGATATATTATCTAGCATGGAGAATATGTCTCGTAGTCATAATGTGGAATTACAAGCAGTTCCGGAAAGTCGCTCAGAAAATATAATGACAATTTTTAAAAAATTTTGTAATACCATTGGAATGACGATCGATGATACTCAAATAACCGCTTGTCGTAGAGTTGCTAAGATGAACGAGAAGTCTAAACGTCCCAGGAATATATTAGAGACCCTATCTTCCCCTCGGCTGCGTGATACAATTTTATCTCTGACACGACGTTTCAACAAATCTGCAAAGGATCCCAGTAATATGCTAAATAGTTCACATCTTGGTCTCGCTGCATCATCAGCAACAAGAATTTACGTCACTGAACATATTTCACCGCAGTGCAAGTTTCTTTATGCAGAGACCAGAAAAGTGGCAAAAGAAAAGAAGTATGATTTTGTTTGAGTAAAATTCGGTCGTATTTTTGTTAGAAAGAATGAGGAATCAAGTTCAATTCAAATTAAAACAATAAACTGTCTAAATAAACTCAAGCAATGACACTTGTTTACCTCATTATTTAAATATTTTACATTCTTTGTTTAAATATTGATGATTGTATTCGGCTCTCTCTTATAGTTCATAATGTTAGTTTTTTATCAAAATGTTAATAGGATTAGAAGCAAATTAAATGACGTATACCTTAATATCCTAAATAGTAATTATGATATAGTTTGTATGACCGAAACAAACCTTAACTCTGGAGTGTATGATGCCGAGTTTCTTGATTCTAGATATGTCATTTTTCGAAGAGATCGGGATACCGTAAACGTCGGTAAACTAGAAAGAGGCGGTATTGCCATCGCTGTGAAAAATAACTATACTGTTAGACGTTTATTTCAGTGGCAAAGTGAGGTTGAAGATATTTGGATTAGTGTAAAGATACATTCTAACAAACATTTAATAATCTGTCTTTGTTATTTGCATCCTAAGCTGGAATTGAGTAAGCTTAAAGCCTTTTATTCTAACTTGCAGCGTAGGGTTGATCATATGAGTGATGACTCGGATTTTTTGTGCATTGGCGATTTTAATACACCTAACGTACATTGGACAAGATCCACTGATTCGTTACTTATGCTTCCGGCTCCCGCATCTGGGTATAAATCTGAGCTTCTTTTGGAGACCATATCTTTGTGCAGTTTGAGACAGTTCAACAACATTCCTAATAAGAACAACCGTTATTTGGACCTGGTTTTAAATACCAATGATTCTTTGAAGGTGTGTGAAGCAGATGCGTTAAGTCGAGTTGATCGCCATCATCCACCTTTGCTTGTAGAAATTACTTATCAAGCCACATTATCTGGTACAGAAATGTATCCCACACAGAGTAAAAGACCTAATTTCTTTAAGTGTAATTTTGATGGTGTCCGGAGTGATCTGGACTCTGTTGACTGGATTGAACTGTTGAATTGCTCAGATACTGATGAAGCTATTGGACGGTTTTACGAGCGATTGCAACAGATTATTCATAAGCATACGCCATTGACGAGTAATAAAATCAACCGTTTCCCTTGTTGGTTCAGTCCAACCTTGATTCGTTGCATGAGCGAAAAGTTGAAGCATCATAGGCGTTATAAGAGATATGGTAACCCACGGGAATACGATTCCTTTGACTTACTTCGTGCTCGTTGCAAAACTCTTTTAAATAAATGCTACAAGTCATATCTTCAATCTGCTGAGACTTCAATCAAACAAAATATTAAACATTTCTTTAGGTATGTTAATAGCAGGAAAAGTTCTAATAGTATACCCCGTACTATGAAGAATGGTGATGTCACATCATCAAATCTGCAGAAGGTATGTAAGATGTTTTCAGACTATTTTTGTTCGGTCTTTGAACAAAGTGACGGTGTTTTTTGTTTCTCCGATAACTGTAATGATCATGGTTTGACATGGCTTGTCTGTTGTTCTCTGATAACTGTAATGATCATGGTTTGACATGGCTAGAATGGAGTTGGAGTGCATTGAGGCCAAGATTAAAAAACTCGACAGTAATAAAGGTGCAGGTCCAGATGGTATCCCTCCCCACTTTATAAAGAGCTGCGGCAAAAAGCTGAGTTTACTTTTATACATACTTTTTAACAAGTCACTCGAGTGTGGCATGTTTCCAACATGTTGGAAAAAAGCCTTTGTCATTCCCATACATAAATCGGCGGATAAAGATTTAATCAGCAATTACAGACCAATAAGTATTCTATCTTGTTTCGCCAAACTCTTTGAATCTTTAATTTATGACATACTTTATTCACACGTTAAAGTGTTTCTTTCCCCTTATCAACATGGATTCATGGCTAATAAATCAACTGTTACCAATCTCTTAGAATACAAAAGCTATCTCTGCTCTGCCTTTGCCAAAACACAGATTTTTCGAGGGCTTTTGACAGGGTTAACCATCGTCTACTATGTCAAAAGTTAGTGGGATTCGGAGTCCATGGAAGTCTGCTACGCTGGCTTATTTCCTACTTAGATAACAGGAGTCAACTTGTGAGCATAAAGGGTTATCTTTCTCCTCCGGTTACTGTTTCTTCTGGCGTTCCGCAGGGCTCGCATTTAGGACCGTTGCTATTTGCTATATTTGTCAATGATTTAGCGGAACGTCTCACTTGTCCTTGCTTGCTTTATGCAGATGATCTCAAAATCTACCACACCATTCAGAATTCCCTAGACTGTGTCAAGCTACAGCATAACTTAGACCTTGTGGCGGGGTGGTGCTCGATAATCGAATGTTTATTAATGCTAGCAAATGCTTCGTGATTTCTTTCGGTAGGGGAAGGAATAAAATAGTGTATGACTATCATATAGAAGGCACTTACCTACAGCGAACTTCTGTGATCAAAGATCTTGGAGTTTACTTTGATGAAAGCCTCACGTTTCGAGACCATTTTGATTATATAATTCCTAAGTGTTATCAGCTACTTGGTTTTATCTTGCGAACCACTAAAGAATTTAAAAACCAATCCGCCTTTTTGTATCTTTATTACTCATTAATAAGAACTATATTGGATGTTCCAATGCCTCGGTTGTTTGGAACCCTCACTACGAAGTTCACTCGAATCGCATCGAAAGGGTTCAAAAGAGGCTCCTTAGCATTCTTTCTTTCAGGTTGAATTTGGGACGAGAATACAAGTCCTACGAGTCAAAGCTACAAAAATTTAAAATGTCCAGCCTTTCGGCTCGGCGCAAATGTCATCAGTTGATATACCTATTTAAAATAGTGCATGCACTCGTCGACTCACCGTATCTTGTCTCTTTAATAAAGTTTAATATAAAATACAGATCGCGTAATCCTCATAAAAACAAATTTTTCTACCTACAAATCTATAGAAATAACACTTCATTTATTAATCCCATTACACGTATGTGTCGGCTGTATAATGATCTTGTAGTCGAGCATTGTTCACTAGATATCTTCAACTGTAAAATACTTACTTTTAAAAGACAAGTCAAAGGCTTCCTGCGCTCTTAGAAGCATGTGTTTGTCTGTATTCTTTATTGTTATTTAGCTGTGTTCTTTTTTTTTCTTTTTATATAATGTTCTGCGGCTACGTTTTAATGTTACATTGTATATTTGGTCCATACTATGCTCACTTGTTTAAGAGTTACGGTATGGTTTATTCCTTAGTTATGTATATTTATTTCAATTATATTACTGTAACTTGTTTTGTGGGCTAAATAAATAAATATTAACATCGGGGATAAAGGACTATGTTAAAAAGAGCCTATGAACACGATGCTACTACTGTACCCCAAGGTTGACCAATTTTTGTCAATATTCCTACTTACTTTTGTGTTCTGATTACCAATTTTCCCTTTATATAAGTAACATGAAATATGTATATTTAATTTTTTGTTATTTTTAATTGGATTCTTTAAATAATCGTTGATTTTTGTAATTGGGCGGTTAAAAGTTAAGAAACATATATATATTTTTTTTATATGAAACGATTTGCTCAGTCACGTCTACGCCGACGGTCTTCCATCATCTTTATCTATGTAGATAAAAAAATAATGCTGTTCATTTGTAAATACGTCACTTAACAGACTGAAAGCTCGTAACAAAAGTGTTGAAGAGTTTCATACTTTAGTATGTTGAAGTCCGAAGTACTAATGCAACATAATACATCATTTAGTACCCAGGGCAAAGGTCAAGTCCTGAAAAACATAATAGCAAGCGCACTGAGAAATACGTTGAAATAGCGTCAGCGTGGTCGGGAGAAATGATACTATGTTCCAGGTTGAATAACTATACATATTTAACTAAACAATATTCGTCTTATATACTACTTAGATCTAAGAGGGGGATATTAAGGTACGTAATATGTAACTGCTAAGGCAGCACATTTATCGAACGTGAATTATTTGCATATTAGTGCATTCCATCGAGATCACGTTTACAACGTGATACTTAATATCAACATACTACAACGTGAAATGATAATATGCAATAAACAAATTGCTTGGTCATATCTAAAGTGTTTAGTTAATAAACTTAATATAGTGGTCCATATATTACGTTTATATTTTTCTACAAAATTCAAAAAGTCAATTTTTGAAAGAACAACTAGTTTCTATTAAAATATCATATGTAGGTGTTAAAAAGTATATAGAAGATAGAAATGACGCTTTGTTAGTAAAATACTCAAAAAAAAAAGTAAAACAGAAAAAATTACATTTTCTGTTTAATTTTCTATGGAAGTTTATGTTAATAGTACCGACTTTTTACACTAGCAATATTAATGGCAGTTAATATTAATAGTGTACAATTTATACCTAAGGCAGTTTATGTTAATAGCACTTACTTTACTCCTATGGCAGTTTTGTTAATTATTCATTTGTTTTCCTGTGGCAGTTTATCTTAATAGTGCACATATTTCTCCTGTGACAGTTAATATTAATAATAATTTATTCTTAGGGCAGTACATGTTAATAGTGCACACTTTACTCCTTTGTCATAATATGTTAATTATGCAAATTATGATTTCTTATATTTTCACACGCACTATCCATAAAAAAAAAACAACTTTTTTACTAAGTTTTATTGACGTATCAAAGGGTCTGAAACGTCAGTAAAACTAAATACAAACGAGAAGAACCATTTACAAGTTGCTTTATTTATGCACATTTTTTTTCCTATGGCAGTTAATGTTAATAGAACACACTTTTCTCCTGTGGCAGTTTATGTTAATAACACTTTATTCCTATGACAGTTTATGTTAATTGTGCACACTTTTTTCTATAGCAGTTTACGTTCAAAGTGCACACTTTTTCTAATGGCAGTTTATTTCAATAGTGCACACTTTTCTCCTATGTCAGATTATGTTTATCTGTATCGTTAACAAAATATATTTAAACAACTTTTTTTACTTCATATTTCAACTTTGAAATTATTTTTAATAGATACAATCAATTGTGAAATTATGATAAGTAATTAAGAAGTTAGGAGGGATCTAGTAGACATACATTACTACACATATGTGTAGCATATGTATGTCATGTACCCGTAAAAATCATAACCCTGCTTTTTGCT